CCTTTAAAGAGTAAGCATTTGTTCATTGGATAATATGAACATTACAACACTAACCAATAGCAACCACCGACCATTATGCTTGAGAAAGACTTGACTGTATACTTAATAATGTTAAAACAATCGTTTAGTACCGCTACTCCGCTAGAACATGTTTACTCTGGAGGGGTTATATGTGCCAAGGCATACAAAAACAAACACAGCTTGACAAACTCTTCATTAAGCAGGCATCCCTTATCAAAATAATTCTTAATATTTCACACAATAACCTACCTGTAGCATAAATGCCACGACTAGTACTGTTATGAAGAGCGTTGCTGTTTCGAATAGTTGGAAATTCAAGTCCATCTTTTGCCCCATCATCCAACCAATGACAACACAAAATGGAATCTGTATATGGAGAATAACATATGTAAAAAATAACAAAGATGAAAATAGGATATGATAAATGAACAAATGCAAGATCTGGAATGAACACAGTATTCTGTAGAACGTTCATGCCAGCATGGTATTTGATGAACAAGTGCGGAAATGCATACTCAGATCATAGTGAGATAACAAGTTTGACCATGCATTACCACAAACATTGATATCTGCGTTGATGACCCAATTGCAACACCCAGTGTTATGTCCTGCAGCAGAGAAACAATCATGTACACAGACAGTTAGGAGACAACAGAAGAATCAGAAAGAAACATCAAAACTGAGCACATCTAAATGCTTACAAGTTTATCTTTCATGGCAAACATTATTGCACTAGCATGTTCAGCAGCGTTTCCCACAATAGGAAGCAAAATAACACTGATAAAAGCCACGGGTAGGTTCAGTGAATCAGATGCCCCCTGATAGCAAATAGCAAAGAGCAAAGCAGTGATCAATAGTATACCCATGCAGAGGTACTCAGGTGACCTGTAAGACAAACAATGTATAACATGGCCAGAGCAGTTAAATCTGTCCTAAAATACAGTATTAGAGATGCAATATTCATGGACTTTCATCAGAAAGAGGTAAACATCTCTTATCATATATCAAATAATCATTTCCAAATTTAAGGTGGACATTTTCCCTGATATGAGTAACCCAATATAAACAAAATAGAGTTAATTGTCAAGTTTAACAGGCCAAAAAAAATCATTTGTCAGTTGCACATATTAAGAACAGCTACTTTTTTTTTGTGCTGTCATTCTAAATTAGAAGAGAAGGAATACCTCAATGGCATTAACCAGGTATTCAGAAAGAATAGACACCCATAATGTCAACATCGCGAGCCATGCTATGGACTCCCACATGCCAATCTCTGATTCTTCATCTTCCTCTGCTGCATCCTCATTGGGCATTTCTTCCTATGACAGGCGATGGAACATGGATATTACATTTTTATTTTTAGGGAATGTAACTGACTGTTATCAAGGAGATTAGTTCATTGCTTGTTGTTCCAATTCAAAGTGCAAGCATATCATATTTGTCACCATCAATGAAGAATTAAATTGAGGTATACACTTACACTGCCAATTGGACTATAAGCATTATTCCGTCCACTTAGTTGGAAATAGAGATAGCTTGCATATGCCACAAGCATAATACAACTGCTGAACCTTGAAAGAGAAACCTCTGATGCTCCTTGCCTCACTTCTGAATGCGTGAAGTGAAGGACAGCAGGAAACATTAGTCCCATGACAGCCATCAACAGTAAACCTGAGTTAACAACTGCAGTTGCCTGTAGTAAATAAAAATTGATTTCATATCAGGAACTTTTGAGTGGAAAGGACGCACAACATGTTGCATCAAAATTACCTTGCTGAAGACTTGGTCCTTGTTCCGATGAACAATACCGCCAGCAAAGAAAGCACAGCCCATAACCAACAACATATTTGATAATATGGAACCAAGCAATGATTGTTGAACTACTCGGATCATTCCATTTTTCAAAGCATATATTGCTATGATCATTTCAGTTGCATTTCCGAACGTAGCATTTAGAAGCCCCCCAACTGCAATCGGTATTAAAAGAAAATGTCTGTTATTGTTCACTGGTTCTCCATTTTGTAATAGGTTATAAATCATAAAAATAAAAATGCATACCTGTTGGACCAGTGTATATTGCGAGCTGCCTGTAGAACAGTAGTTTAGGTTAAACGAAATAAGGTCAGAAAAAAATAGGTCTAGAGTTCACTAACTCACTCAGTTGCATAACCCAAGCGCTCAGCTAAAGGTGTTATTCCTAGCATGCTGAATAGGAAGACCAATCCCTGCAATTTTGGTAAAGTAGAAATCAGTTACAAGTACTGAGTAGCAATAAGAGATCATCATAAGAAAAACCTATTGACTAAATCAGATAGTCTTCAATTGATGAAACATTAACAAAAAATACAAAACTAGTAATGTTACTAAAGAGCAGTGAGCCCAATTATTAGTTCATCTCGATAGGGTACTCTGGTTTCTAGCCTACGAACAATGATAAATATAAACAAAATGCGGTCGAATAGAGTTCAGTTGCTGTGAACAGGACTTACATGTCTGCTGGTAGTATAGTGTAGAATGATCGACGCAGGCCCAAACGGCAAGAGCAGATTGAGCTTAGAAGTGAATATGACAATCCTGATGCTCCGCAGCGCGCTCTCAACGAATCTCTGCAGGTTCCAGGACTGAACCATGCTGGAACGTAGCCCACCATTCTGCAATTGCGGACCGTTCGCCTTGAAGGCCCCCATCTCAATCTGAGGATTCTCCATCCTCTATAACCACCACCACAGGAAGTCTAATCAGTTGATTAAAAGTATATAAAACTATTCTAAGTGTGAAAAAGAAGCAACTTTCTCCACAAATTCGCTCCCTTCCTTTCTCTATGATATGCTCAAGTTCATAAATCAGCTTCAATATTCTCAAATCGCGCTGAATAATTCACATATACCAAACTAGAGCATACTAAATCGACCTCCCAGATCCACGCCGCACCTAACCAAAGCAAGCACTACACCCACTAATCCTAAATCCAAACTACCCCAAATCCAAGAACTCGTGAATAACCAAACCGAATCGAATAGCACCAAAACCAACCTGAAAAAATAGCAACAGCAGCAGCCGCGATCGTCGGTCGGGGATCAGGACGCCGCCGCGGGCTCCGGCACCGCCCCTTCCCTAGGGATCATCATCCGCTGCCTCCTCCTCCTCCTACTCCCAAGGCTGTAATGCGGCGCTGCCGCTGCTGCTCACGCCGCCCGCGCCTGCCTCCTCTCCTCCTGCTGCTGCTGCCTGTGCCTGCCTTGGAGAGTTGTTGCCTTCCACTCGCGGCGACCACGACTCGGCCTCGGTTCAAGGGTAGGGGGGAAGGGAGGTGTTGCCTACGACGTCTTGGCGACTCCTCCTCTTCTTCTTTGTGGGTGTTTTGGTTGGGCAATTTCCTCCTCTTTGCCGAGACTTGGCTACTGTTTTCTGAGTCCACGCTGGCCGGCAAGGCAAGGTCAGGTGAAGTCTTGGTGGAAAGTGAAGCGATCGAGTTCGTCAGTTTTGGGTTGCTATAAATTTTGAAGCTTTTTGTATATACTGGAAGTAAACTAAAAAAAGAGAGATTTTGATATTGAGGTTGGGTGAGAAACACGGTCGTTTTCTCCGGTTTGTAAAGATTGCAAGTCGTTTTCTCCGGTTTGTAAAGATTGCAAGTGTGCCGGTGTTACTGGTCAGAGTCACAATCTTGGACTAGGTATGTATAAAGTTGAAAGCTTTTTTGTTTAGCCGTGTGAAGCATCATAATCCAATAATGAACATTACCAAAGGTTTGTTATAATGAATATTACAAAGGTTTGGTCCAAGGGGATAGTATTGTAAATGAAACTTAGGCCCTATTTAAAGTTTGTGCGTGTCACATCGAATATACGGACACATATTTAAAGTATTAAACGTAGTCTAATAATAAAACAAATTACATATTCTGCATGTAAACTGCGAGACAAATTTTTTAAGTCTAATTAATTCGTCATTAGCAAATATTTACTGCAGCACCACATTATTAAATCATGGCGCAATTAGACTTAAAAGATTTGTCTCGTAATTTACACATAATCTATATAATTATTTTTTTTTCTATATTTAATACTCCGAACTAAACACGGCCTTAGCTTATAGGGATGTTCGGTAGCAATGGTTGTCTGACAGCTGCGGCTGTACAACTAGTAGCACGGTAGAATATAGCTCTTATGGTAATTATTTAAGATACAAATAAATGAATTAATCAACTAGTATTATAAAGTTTGAAAAGGTTGGTTTAGAAAAGTGTTTAAAAAATATTGATAATGCAAGTTACACCACAATCGTATTGTTTAGAAGCTTAAAAGGCGTGCTCACGATGCTCTATAGTTTGTTAGATCAAAAGAATTCCCTAAATTATTCTATAAATATGTAAGTCAAAATATATTACTACCTCCGTTTCATATTATAAGACTTTCTAGCATTGTCCATATTTATATATATGTTAATGAATCTAGACATATATATATATATATATGTGTGTGTGTTTTAATTAATTAACATTTATATAAATATGAATAATGTTAGAAAGTCTTACAATATGAAACGGAAGGAGTACGCAGGTTTGCAAGCGTGGTACGTGTTTACCTAAACTCTTGAAGGTTTTTATATTCTTCACTGGTATACGTGTACGACGGTGTGTGCGTATGTGTGCTCCGTGTAACCAGGGAAAAAAAATTAAACTTAATTTTAAAATCATAATTCAGAAATGTGGTGAAATTCTTTATTGGGCAACATGCGTATGATGCAGGGGGTGCACATGCAGTCATGCGTCCCACGCGCTCCACAAGAAACGAATCGTCCTTCTAGATGCAACCCAACCCAAAAATCCAGCAACAGAAAAGGAAAAAAAAAGGAATTCCAAAAAGAAAAAGAAAAGAAAGAAAAGGAAATAAAAGAAAAGAAAAGAAAAGAAAAGAAAAGAAAAAGAAAACCGGGGGCCCACCCACAGTCTCACACCACCAACCTCCCCGTAAAAAATCCCCATCACATCACCTCCATCTCGAGCACTCGAAGTTGGAACTCGAGCTCATCCATGGCCATCGCGACGACGACCTTACCACTCGCGCCACTCGCCCTCGCGCCGCCATCCTCCCCGATCTCCCAGTGCTCGCTCCTCCTGCTGCGCCCCCGCGCCCCGGCCGCCCTCTCGCTCCGCCCCTCCGCGCGCCTCCTCGTCGCCGTCGCGGCCAGTGAGCCCGAGCTCGGCGGATCGGGAGGCGGAGGCGCAGGCGACGGCTCTGGGAGCGGCGGCGGCGGGGACAGCGAGAAGCCGCGGGGTGGTGGGGGCGACGAGGAGGGGGAAGGGGAGGAGGAGAAGATGGGGCAGGGGCTCTCCATGTCGCAGAAGATCACCCTCGCCTACGCCGCTCTCGTCGGAGGTAAAAATGCAGTAATGCCACGACCAGTTCATTTTTAGTACTCCTACTGATCTACTGTAGTGTGCAAACGCCTTGGATTCGAGTAGTTTGATTTTGGAGAATGAGAGCTACTGCATTTCTTTATCAAAGTGATTAGCCATTGGGGTAATTGTGTGCATTTCAACTTCTGGTTCACCAACTAGTTCCCAATAAGTTAGAACACACATACTTGTCAGGTTATTCTCGTGAATAAAATTAAATCCTTATTAGTCAGGTCGAATTATTACTAATTTGATGAGATCAATAATTGTTGGACTTGACTGGGTACTTGATAATTTCCAACTGTAGAAAACCAGAACACCTATGCAACATTCAGATTCAGCAGCCTGCTTTTTGAGTTTTGGTTTCTCAAGTCCAGCTTGTATCAGAACAATGATGATACAACTACCAGCATGTGCTTTTTGTAGACACAAACACAAATGGTGCATTAGCACTCTGTATATCACTGGTCACAGGATGTGCACAAATTTTGGCCTACAGGCAAGCACAATGTGCACAAATTTTCTCTTAGGAAGAATGAAATGGAGTACAGCTAAACAACCACCTAAAAATGAACATCCTAAAAAAAAAAAGAAGAAAATTAACACAAGAGTGATCATCCTAAAATTTTGAATTATTTTTTCTCCATTGTGATTATGTCTGTGAAACTAGCAGATGATAGTCCTGTTATAATTTTAGCTGCATCATCGGTTCAATAATAGCGTTATGATCTACTGGAGTGAATGACTGTGTGGTGTTACCATCCTGTGTGAGGTTCTACATCAGAGCCTGACAGCCTGTTCTAGCCTTCAAGGTGCATCTGAGGATAGATTATATTGAAGCATTGGTTGTTGCCATCAAAAGAGAGCTTCATTTTTGTTAGAAATTGACTATTGTGATTCCAAATTCTGTAGCCGGTGGAGCGATGGGGTACATGAAGAGTGGAAGCCAGAAATCCTTAGCCGCAGGAGGCATATCAGCCCTGGTCCTGTACTTCGTCCACACTCAACTCCCAGTGAGACCTGTCTTTGCATCATCTATTGGTTTAGGTATGCAAAATCATTTTCTGAGCCACCTATGTTGTGGACCTTGTGGTCCTTATTATCCTTGGCATGGAATTACTTCAACATGGAGTCTTTCCCTGATGTTGTCTCGCTTTGCATTCTAGGTATATCTGCTGCCCTCTTGTCGGTCATGGGATCTCGCTTCAAGAAGTCCGGGAAGATATTCCCAGCTGGTGTCGTTTCCCTCGTCTCCTTGGTCATGGTCGGTGGTTACATCCATGGGATCTTGCGCAGCACTCATGCATGACAAACTGACAGTAGCCGTGGCAATCACTATATGCAACTCCCTACCTAAGCCTCATGTTTCCCTTCCGTTTTTGTGTTTTAGAATCTGCAGCAACTGTGTGACATTCTCCTTCTTGATCATGTACCTGTGTTGTGGGCGTAGTTCACTCCTTTTCTGGTACAATATGGCCTATGGTTAAGCATGTGAGATGCTAGATGGAAAAAATAAAAGGTTTGGTGAATCTGTCTTGAATTTTGATTGAACATCGGTACTCCTTGGCAGCATGTACAGTGGCATGGTTGTATATGGGAAATATGGCCGTGTTTAGTTCCAAACTTTTTTTTCAAACTTCCAACTTTTCCACTACATCAAAACTTTCTTACACACATAAATTTCTAACTTTTTCGTCACATCGTTCCAATTTTAACCAAATTTCTAATTTTGGTGTGAACTAAACACACCTTATGTTGTGCAGTACTACTATAATACTCAATGCGGCCGGCAGCAACAGGTGGCAAGTCGTCTCCGGCGGCCGGTCAGACTGCCGCGTTGGGCTAATTCGCCGGTTGACACTGTCAGCATGGTACCGGAGCGGCAGTCGAGCAGAGGCAGCGAAAAAAATGCTAGTATAGGAATCCATCACTGCAAAATTGTAAGCTTCGTAAGATCTGGAACAAATGCTGTTTGTAAAATGGAGGAACAGCCGGAATGCCAGATACAAGAAAACCATCCTCAACTTTCATGCATCTGGCACTGTAAAACCCCAGTGCCGAAACTGAAATTAGGCCCTGTTTAGATGGGACTAAAACTTTTAAGTCCCTATCACATCGGATGTTTGAAAATTAATTATAAATATTAAACGTAGACTATTAATAAAACTCATCCATAATCTTGGACTAATTTGCGAGACGAATCTAATGAGCCTAATTAATCCATGATTAGCCTATGTGATGCTACAGTAAACATTCTCTAATTATAGATTAATTAGGCTTAAAAAATTTGTCTCGTGAATTAGCTTTTATTTATGTAATTAGTTTTGTAAGTAGTCTATATTTAAAACTCTAAATTAGTGTCTAAAGACAGGGACTAAAGTTAAGTCCCTGGATGTAAACACCACCTTAACAATTAACCTGGATGATATCATTACTAGACGAACACAATAACATTGTCAGGCAATGATATGCATGATGTACAATGATATACTACTATCATAGCTGCTGAAACTGAAATTTACTAGTAACAATTAACCTGGATGATATCATTACTAGACGAACACGATAACATTGTCAGGCAATGATATGCATGATGTACAATGATATACTACTATCATAGCAGTTTGCTGTTCGAGTAAACAAATTCATGACAGAATAGACTAGCACATAAGGAACAGTACAACGATAATAAGGGCATAGGTTCGATTATTAGTAAGGTTCTAGGGTGCGACACCATCTAAACAATGAACGCGACGCCTTTCCTTCCTTCCCCCTCCAAACGTCAGCCTCCACCATTCGAAGTTGACAGTTACTGGGCCTTGCCCTCAGCAGTTACTTCCATCCCTGATGCTTCCATGCCCTCGGAGGATTTTGTGGGATATGGAGCTTTGCTCACCAACCTGCTTAACATGGTCATTTGGCTTAATCAGTTGAAGCTAAGGATTTCTCAAATTTGCAGAAAGCTGTGTTTCTATAACTACTGGCTACTTTGTTATGTATCATGAAAACATGGGCTATGGTAATGAAACTGAAAACAGTCCTTGCACATATACTTGGTTCGTATCCAAGTCAAGCTAAAGCAAATGTTTTATCCCCTACAAGTCAGTTTCCAGCTATCCACATTCTTTTAGCATGTTCTAATGGACCACTAAACCTAAGGAAATGCATCAGACAAATATAGAATGCTATTTCTACATTCATTCATGCCAACCTGTCACGGCGTTTCTCTAGGAAGCGCTGAAGGGAGTGCCTCCTGGCAATGGGGAGATCTGCACAGCAAATAAAGAATAAATTTGTAGCATCTTCAATCACTTAGTACATCATATGACGAGGGATTAAAACAGCCCCATTTTAGATTCACAAAAAGATCTTGTAGTCTTACCAGCCTGGAGCTTGCAAATTGAGCTAGGGTCAGCGGCAACTTGAGGTTGTCCAGTTGCTACAGAAGTGCTCTGCAATGAGAGCGATCTTGTGAGCACAGGAGAGACTGCTGCTTGGGTAGCATTGGCTGCAGGCATCACAGGGGGCTTAACAGCAATGGCAGCATTGCTTTTGGTGGCAGACGCCGCTGCAGCAGCTGCTGCGGCAATAAGCATGATTGCTTGAGCCTGTTGATGACAATGTTGCAGATAACGAATTAGCATAAACTTTCAACAGTTAGTCGGAGGATATAACGAAGATAAGTGGGGTGAATATGACCTTCTCTGGCGGCACTGAGTCATAAACACATACTGATCCACCATAGAAAATTGTAAGTTGCGAAGGATTAGGTGGAGGGCTCGACATTGGAAATACTTTGGGCCTGATTATGACAAAGCGAAATTAGTAAATGTGCAAGAAGGTAATAACAGATTGCATAGTTACACAGATATTGGCATAAGTGGGCCGTTCTTGACTAATTGCATACATGAGTACATGGCAATACATAAGATGGGCATCCAAGGGTAAAGTGCCATATAAAATTGGAGGCCAACCTAGCTAACTGATGTATAATGTGCAATTACACCGTAGGCCGTATTTCCAGCCTTTTTTAGAGGTTTAATGAGCTTTACTATGCACCTTGTCTGCAGCCAGATAAAGGCCCATCTCCTTCATAAATAATTATTCTACTCTCTATATTCTACTTGATGAGAGGATTATCTCTTGGTCAGTACGCTACGCCAACATAGCCCTCCCACAGCTGCCAGTAACACAAGTTATACCCAAGTCAGGATAGATACCATTATCAATGTTTTTGGTACACACATTCTGAGTCTAATAGCATGATCAAGATTAAAACTCACAAGATCTAAAATCTAAAAATAGCAAACTAGGCCTGCAACTTTATGGTCCACTCTGAAATATCCAACATGTGCAGCATGATGGGACTGATTCAGAGTTAATAATCTGTCCAAAGGTTGTCCAAGATGGACGGAATGTACTGAAATTTTTTTCTTCAAAGTCTCAGCATAATCTAGTCTAAAAGACCAGGTTACAGGCTCAATAGAACATCTAGATTTAAAAACATCTTACATAGTTACATATATGTGGTTTACCTATTCAGAAAATGCTGAAACATTTAATAATAGCCACGATTCATATTAGCCATTACCAGGTATTTTTACTTTCACCTTACTTACTTCAAAACAAACACTGCATCTATTGTTTTCACAGCAGCCTAGTGGATTATATAAGAGTTGCGAAACTATGGTACTTGGTCCCCAGCTACAGATTTAGTCTTGAAGTAAAGATAAGACAAGGGGATGAGGCCTTTACCATTGAATCCCCTTGGTACATGGAGGTGTTAAAAACTGCACGCTAACTCAAGTTTCACCAGATCTATGTGTGTTTCTTGCTTATTATTTCTGAGTCTTTAAAGAAGAAATGCAAGTAACTTAGAAGAGTTCCCCATTGCTCCTGATTCCAAGGCTCAATTGGAAACTTTTCACAGCAGTTCCAAGTATTTGGAGAACAAGTAACTGCCAATTACAGAAAAAGGGAAGGAAAAAAACTACCTGGATCTGCCACTTGCCAAAAGTTCTTTCCTATCCGTTAAGTTTGGTCTAAGGTGGGAAATCATTTACCTAGTGACGTGAACCAAATTGAACATCCATATAATTGATATCGGTTTAGTAGAATATCAGCAGTTCACCGCACTCCCAACATCTGGATAAGAACACGTGCAACTAGAATGACACCCTAATTTGTTCAAGGTTAAGAACAGCTGACGCCAAGCGCAAGAGAGCGGGAAAGGAATAAAGGGGATTTGGATTGCAGGCCGAGGAGAAGCATGAGACTACCACTAATCAGAAGAATCTTCACATGACCTAGGCAAGAACCCCCACCAATTTGATCCACTGCAGCAAAGCTAAGGGCTCTTCCATGATTACACCAACTCGTAAAAAAGGGAAAGTTGCAACTCGGTGTAGGGTGGACTCTTAACTCGAAGTCGAAACATTTTGACTCTATTTTTAGGAAAATTTTCAACGCAAGAGCTCCATCTGGAACGGAGGAAACTCCGAGTGGATTCGAGATTTTTTTGGTCGGTCCAAGGAATTTCACCCGACCAAAAAAAGAGTCTCCGGTTCCACCCAAAAATTCAAACACCAGGAGTCCAGTACCGGAGAAAATCCATCCCCTCCGGTAAACCACTTCGGAGGCGGCTGCGGCGCCGCTCGGCTCCCAGCAGGAAGCGGCTCCCCGGCGGCGAGTTCTCGGAGAAGGGGCGATACTATGAACTGAAAAGCGGCTAGAATCCCGCGCGAGATGCATTTCCCGAACAACCAACCAAATACTCTCTCTCCCGCGACCCAATCGATCAACCCAAAGCTGAATAGGACTCGACTTGCGAGAGGAGAAGGCGGAGCCGGAAAACTACCTGCCGCCGGCGAGCGAGAGGCCGACGAGCTCCTCCTCCCCTTGCTGCTGCTGCTGCTGATGGCTCTTCTCCTCCACCACCACCTCTTCCTCCTTCCTCTCCTCTCCCTTGCGCGCCACCTCCTCCTCCACTTCTCCCCCCTTCTTAATGTTCTTCTTCTCCAACAGATCCATCTCAACCAACTCCTCCTCTCCTCTCTCTCTCTCTCTCTCTCTCTCTCTCGCTCTCTTCCTCTTCGGCTTCTCGCGAGAAATTGGAGAGCAAAAACGAGAAATCGGGAGGGGGTTTGGGGAAGAAAGGGTACTAGTGGTAGTCGTATGTGTACAGCAAACGGCGCATGTGAATATTGTGACGGATTTAAATATTTGTAAATCTCGACCGCAAATTGAGCCCCATCATCATCTCTTTACGTATTTAAATTTGGCTTTATCCAATTTCATAATCTCGCCAACTGTACCCCCCATTATTCGACCTGCCACGGTAGTCTACTGCTACTAGTAATCAATTACCACGATTAGTCCTCGTACAAAAATTTATCGATTTGATCAAAGGCCGTGTTTAGAGTTAAAATTTTTTTTTTGAACTTTTAACTTTTCCATCACATCAAATATTTAGACACACGCACAGAGCATTAAATGTGGAAAAAAAACTGATCGCACAGTTTGCATGTAAATCGTGAGACGAATCTTTTAAGCCTAATTACGCCATGATTTGACAATATGATGCTATATTAAACATTTACTAATGACGGATTAATTAGGCTTAATAGATTCATCTCGTAGTTTAAGATAGAATCTGTAATTTGTGTTGTTATTAGTCTATGTTTAATACTTCAATATGTGTCCATATACTTAAAAAATTTTTGGCACATGAACTGAACACAGCCAAAGATCGTGTCCTGCTTGGTCCAAATTGGACGAAATTTAGTGCAGTTGAAGCAAGATTTCAACCGTGACTCTGTCTCGTTTTTGGACTGACAAGTCATGGGCGACAAGGCACGGGACGTGCGTATATACGTTGACGAGCTCCACAAGCAACGACGTGGGGCCCCGTGAAGAAAGGGTTGAAGAGAGGAAGGATGCCACGTCACCCTGAAAAGGGCAAGGGCTGGGGAAGAAAAGGTGGCGGTTTGCTTGCCCCAAATATGTAGACCACGTTGCTGTCCCAAAATTAGACTTACTAAGTGCGTATTATTGGATTCCGTCGGTTACGTTACGCCCACAAGTATGTATATACGCGTATCGCTTCTCCGTTTATTCGAGCCAGCTAGTGGAGCAGCCTGCTAGCGAAATGGCAAATCCGCGAACAATTTGTGCGCCACGAACTCACGCGACATACTCGTCCAAACATCTTCCTCGGTTGTTTGGAGTCCCGACTTTGGAGATACTCCATCCGTTCCTTAAAAAATCAATCTATTCCTAGTTGTGACATATTATAGTGCAATAAATCTGTTCTCCGCAAAAAAAAAATAGTGCAATAAATCTGTACGTATATATGTCTAGATTTGTTGTGCTAGAATGTGCTGCATCCTATATCTTTTTTAAGGATGGAGAGTACAATTAAAGCTTATTGTTGGTTTAGCGATGACCGGTCAAAGCTTAATAGCAGCAGGTTCGATGCTAGTCCTTCCTCAGTAAAGTGTGCATAGTGGTGATGTTTTGTTTTTCTTTTTCTGATTATGTAATCTTTTAAGGTTATATTCTTGTAATTTTTTCATGCTTTGGGCCTGTTCGACAGTTGATTTCACGACTGTGCCGCAGCCAAAACCAACAGTACCACACGCACGCATCCTAGCTGCATGCCGCAGTTGCTGATCTACTTAACGGGCCCTATATTTCATGAAACTTCAGACTTTCTAAGTACCAGCTCGTTTGAAAAAAAATTCTATCAAAGGTTTATACTCCCTCCGTTTCACAATGCAAGTCATTCTAGCATTTCTTATATTTATATTGATGTTAATGAATCTAGATAGACAACATCAATATAAATGTGGGAAATGCTAGAATGACTTACATTGTTAAACAGAGGAAGTACATGAAAATATTATAGGTTCAAATTCAATTTAAAAAGTTAATTTGTTAAATACAATGTTTCTCAAAAAAAAAATACAATGTTTCTATGTCAAGAAATTTGTTAAGTACTACGTATAACTTTTCTAAGACAACTCCGTCGATTGGACCTACACTCCACTACTGTCGATGTGACGAGACTCTAATCTTGACTCGAAATTTTCGTCAGGTCAAGCTGCTATCGACAAAGTTATTACTGTCTCAACACTGTTACCATAAAACTGTTAGTACTAATATAAATTTGTGTGGAATTAGCACGTGTGTGTACATGCTCCGGTTGATCACGGGCGGGCATTACGATGCATAGAATAAAGTGTGTAGCAGAACTGTAGGCGACAGTGACCTCGGTGTCGTTCACTGTCACCCGAGTCTTTGCGGAGACAGTACCTAAAATTAAAATGAGGTACTACCGCTGATTAAATTAACCAAGCTTTTGATTAAAAAAACAGAGGCAAACAATCTTCCGTTGAGCAACCACCGTCTCGACGCATGATTAGTTGTTAATGTAGGATTATTGGTGATTAATTCTCACTGATGGTGTCGTTTGCCCAGCGTTCTGAGCAACGCTACGGCCCTGTTTGAGGGAGTTTGTCCCAGATGCGGCTTTTTCCCAAAAACTGTTTCTGCTAGAAGCTGCCCCAAACAATTCACAGCTTCTGAGAATCTGTAGTTACAGATTCTGAAAAATGAACTAAGAAGCCAAAAGCTGGAGAAGCTGGGTTTCAGAGCTTTTCCAGATTCTCAAAAGCTGGCTAACAAACAGCTGCTTCTCAGAATCTAAAGCTCCCCAAACAGGCTCTACTACTCGGAAGATGACAAATGAGCAATTAACTCAGCTGTGTTAGAAGGGGTCCTTGGAACAATAAAATTCTGGAGAAATTTTAGGAGAATTTAGGCAAACCTGGTAAGACTGTTGTATCTTAGAGGAGGCCGCGGAAGTGGTGGACTAGTTTAGTAAATGTAGAAATTATGTATGATTTTTACATGAAGAAGCTCAGCTATTTTACGAATTGAAAAGATACCCATGTTTAGCCGCTACTCTCTCCGTCCCAAAATAAACGCAGCCATGAGGTTTCGTGTCCAACTTTGACCGTTCGTCTTATTAAAAATTGTTTTATGATTAGTATTTTTATTGCTATTAGATTATAAAATATGAATAGTACTTTATGTGCGACTTATGTGTTTTAGATTTTTCAAAAAAAAATTAAATAAAACGAATGGTCAAAGTTAGATACGGAAACTTATGGCTGCGCTTATTTTAGGACAGAGGTAGTAGGTTTTAATTTTTGTTAGGCATTCGAGCACAAGGAGGCCGGGTTAAAAATGTTGACAAAATGTGCCTAATCTACAAATAAACTAGTTAGTGGTTGCTGTTGCTGTGAGCTACTCATACTTGACTAGGTTGCTTATAGGCTACTAAGGGCATCCGCAATGGTTATCTATAGGCTCTCTACAAAAGATCCATATCAGCATATTTTCCTACTTGGAAGATATTAAATGAAGAGAGAGAGCAAAGCTATCTACTAACCTAGAGATAGTCTATAGAGAAAAACGAGACAATGCATGAGAAAGCTATAGATAACCATGTAGACATACTATTGAGGTGATTTACTATTAATCTAGTCTATTGCTGAGATGTACATGTTTTATAGAGAGCAACTTACTTTACTATTATGGGTGCTTTAATTGCAGAAACAGGGGCGCCGTCCTGATAATGGTGTTGAAATTACAACACGTTGGTTTTTAAAAAACGAGCCCAATTTGCGCTCATTTTATGACCGGACGTACATCCATGCAACCAAACTCTCCATTCCAGAGACTAAACAATCTCACTGCGCGTCACGATGTCTGTAATTGGAACAGAGAAAGGGACAAACCTTGATGTTAATACTGTACGAATTATTACAATTAAAATCAAGAGCTGACCCTAATTACCACTTACTCCCAGCTTGTCATAAACTAATACTCCCTCCGTTTTTTAATAGATGACGCTGTTGACTTTTTCTCATATGTTTGACCATTCATCTTATTTAAAAATTTTACATAATTATAATTTATTTTGTTACGAGTTGTTTTATCACTCATAGTACTTTAAGTGTGATTTATATCTTATATATTTGCATAAATTTTTTGAATAAGACGAATGATCAAACATGTAAGAAAAAGTCAACGGCGTTATCTGTTAAAAAACGGAGGTAGTATATTGTTTGGTCTCACTGTCTCTTGAGTGGGTTTTTGTGACGCCTCAGCCTTTAAGGTATGGGAAATAATTCTGTAGGGCCTTTGATCTGTTCCTTTACGCAAGGGCACTTTGATGTACTATTAAGCACCCATTTCTCAGTCTAATCACAGTCATAACCATGACGCCTTTTCACAAAACAAAGTGAATCATGTTGATTACCCTATGAGTTTAAAGCATGTTTGTGCGATGTAACTAGGTTTGGAGGAAGACAGATGAATTGATTTACTCCTACACACGCTTCGGTTTTTTCTATCCGAATTTTCTGGCTCGTCGATTTTCGCGTGGGAACACCTTTTTTTGGTGGTTTTTTAGGTACAGTTGTTTTTTTTTACTTGATTAGCGGACATTGGGCATTTTCGTACAAAAAAAGAAACGACAATGGGGTATTCGGCAGTGACAAAAGATAAAAGTGGAAAGTGACCTATAAGCAAAGGTTACACTCTGCAATATCCCGGTTGAACATTTCACTGTATCCCATTAGTTCAATACTCCCTCCGACTTAAAATATACTACCTCCGTTTTTTAATAGATGACGCCGTTGACTTTTTCTCACATGTTTAACCATTCGTCTTATTAAAAATTTTATGCAAATGTATAAGATATAAATCACACTTAAAGTACTATGAGTGATAAAACAACTCATAATAAAATAAATTATAATTACGTAAATTTTTTGAATAAGACGAATGGTCAAACATGTGAGAAAAAGTCAACGGCGTCATTTATTAAAAAACGGAGGGAGTAAGCATTTTTGACTCTGATACAGTCTCCGAGATGCTTCTTTGACTAACAATATCTATAAAAGTAAGATATTTTAAATAAAAAAGTTACTCCTTTCGTTTCACAATGTAAGTCATTCTAGCATTTCCCACATTCATATTGATGTTAATGAATCTAGATAGATATATTAATGTGAATGTAGAAAATGATAGAATGACTTATATTGTGAAACGGATGAATACATATTATTATGATATTTTGTTTAATGATAAATCTAGTAATA